AATATATATCATGCCTACAGTGCAATAGGTGTAGCATTACAGGCCTAGGCAAGAGATGCTGACACAAAGGAGTCAGCCACCAAAGGGGGCCCCTGTATGAAACCTTCAGCTCCCACCAACCTGAGAATTAAGTGTGTTCCACATCTCTTTGAAGTTCTAACGACCTTGTAGTATACATCTCTGAATTTTAACAAAATAATGAGCCTTACATCATGTCCTGAAGTTCAAGTCATGGCTTATTACTCTGGTGAGTGAATTCTGAACACAAAGTGCCTCAAATGGAGAAAGTCATGTTGATGGTCTCTCACCCATATCAAGTGTGATGGGGACCAATGATTGAAGATATCATGGGCCTGTCATCTTACTTGACAAAGCCACATCACACTGGCATCTCATAGTCATCCTGTGATCAAATAATACTTCCACGTCTTCCTCCTCTGTTGCTTCTAACAGATATATCTGCAGCTTATAGCAAAAATTCTTATTGTTAATTTCTAAAAGTGTGATCTTGCACTTTGTTCTATTAAATTTCATCCCATTTCTATTACTTCAGAGCTGTGTCTAGACTGGCCAGTTTTTCCGGAAAATCAGCCGCATTTCCGGAAAAATTTGTCAGCTGTCTACACTGGCCGCTTGAATTTCCGCAAAAGCACTGACTTCCTACTGTAAGAAATCAGTGCTTTTTGCAGAAATACTATGCTGCTCCCATTCGGGCAAAAGTCCCTTTTGCGCAAAAGTTTTGCGCAAAAGGGCCAGTGTAGACAGCTGAGATTTGTTTTGTGCAAAAAAGCCCCAATCGCGAAAATGGCGATCTGGGCTTTTTTGCGCAAAAGTGCATCTATATCAGCCACGGATGCTTTTCCACAAAAAGTGCTTTTGCGGAAAAGTGTCTGTGCCAATCTAGACGCTCTGCTCTGAAAATGCTTTTAACGAAAAACTTTTCCGTTAAAAGCATTTCCGGAAAATCATGCCAGTCTAGACGTAGCCCAGTTGTCCAGGTCATCCAGATCTTTCAGTATGATATTCCGGTCTCTCTCCACACTGGTAATACCTCCCAACTTTGTGTGCAATTTTATGAGCACATTCCCCATCTTTTGTCATTACTAAAAATGGAACTCCTTCCAACCATGACAGTTTGTATTTCAGCATGAGCCGTTGCAGTCTCACCTTTAACCAGTTCCTTAGCCACCATTCCATCTTCTCCAAATTAACTAATAAATCCCCATGTGGAAATGTATAAATACCTGACTAGAGCTATCTGGATTTCAATCTACTGCATTTCCTTGATCTTAAAAAAAAAATAAGTTATCTTTTCAAAGAAAGAGATCAGACTGGCCTTCAGCTCAGCTTTGTTTCTGGGCTACTGCTTCAGCTCCTCTCCTTAGCTTGAGGCTGCTACACTCTCTCTGGCTTTGCCTTACTTTCTCTGGGCTGCATAGGTGCTGGAATTGGTGGTACAGGAGGTGCTGCAGCACCCCCTGGCATGAAGTGGTTTCCATTATATACGAGATTTGTAGTTAGGTTCAATGGTTCTTAGCACCCCCATTATACAAATTGTTCCAGTACCTTTGCCTAGTAGTCCTAGTTCCCACTGAGATTGGGCCCTGGGATCATGACTCCTTCACTGGCTTCTCTGCCCTGTCTATCTAAATGACTTGGTGTGCTGACATCTCCCCATTTGCCCTGGAACCTGTTAGTCTCTGGATCCTGGCCTCTCTTAGCCCTTCCCCTGTTTACTGATATTGGAAGAGGGCTAACCAACAACGCAACCCTCTAAATTTCAGCAGAGGCTAAGAGTACTATTACAAAAACTTCCACTGACTTCAACAGGCCAGGGTTTTAGCCACCAAATTCAGCATAATAATTTAAGATGCTGAGTTGTCACCTATAAAAAACATTTCAATCTTGTCTTATATAATGTGACATTAGTATTCACAATAATGCCTACATTTGTGCAGGAAACACAGTAAATGATGAAGAAATGTACACTAGTTACCTAAATCAAGAATGGATTGATTTCAAGGGTGACCATTATACAATGGGCACAATTCTAACCATAAATATTTATGATCAAGCAACACCTGTATTGTATATTATATTGTGTATGGAAATGTTGGATGAACAATATGCTCTATTTTTATGGTAAATGCTGCAACTACATTGGCAAGTGTTTTTATGATGACCACTGTAAATTTCTATCTTTAGAGACATTGTTCCTAAACTCTTATAAATGTCCTTTTACACAGCCTCCTACGACAAATATCATATGTACACAAAACCACAAGGATTTATAGCTTAGTAGCACAAATTTTAAATTCATAACCACAATTTTGTCGGGGTTTTTTATTTAAAACTGATAGTTTTTTCCTACAGTAAAACTGTCTCAAATTTTTTGTAAAAGGCTATTTGCACATAGATTTCTCCCACTTCATTGTTCCACAGGCAAAATGAAATAGTTATTTATACAAGCAGGTAGATGTTCATGGTCAATACTGTTCCTTATGTCAACTGCAAAAATGTGTTTTGAAAGACAATGCAAGAGGAAGACTAGTTTTCCTTTTGCTAATCTACCAATGTCAAGTAAGTTCATGCTGGTGGTCTCAGCCAGAAGGACCACAAACCCTGCCTTGAACTTAAGAACCTGGTACTTTTAACACCATAAACTCAATCTGGCTCCAGAAATAGATCCAACCTCTTTTCTTCTTCACTTTCTAGTACAAGCTAGTCCACTTCTGTAACAGTCTGTACTTACAATTTAATTCTGCATTGTGACTTAAAGACTAAAATATTTGAAAACCACTAAGCTTTTTCAATACCTTTAAAACAGAAAAAACATAAATACGCAACAGATATTTTATAATGTATTTCATTTATTTGGGCCACCCATAAAGCTGTGAATCATGTAAGTGACAACCAAGTAAATAATACCAGAATTCTGCAGAAACCCTGTATAATATATTTTAGAAGGATTGGTGGGGGGTACCTTTCACAAAAACCCTATTTAATAAGTAATTTCCTATGTCAGGAAAATAAAATAGGAATTACTGCACACGTAAGTGGTAATCACTGCCACTTGATCAGCTACCACAGTGATCTGGGAACTTTATGTGGCTTATTATACTATTCTCATGAAAAGATAACTTGAAAACTGATGTTACAGGAAAAATAGAAATATCTTAAGTTAATCTATTGAGAATGATATCATATAAATATTCAGTTTGTCAGTATTGCACAGCAAATGAATAAACCTAGCTATTCAGCAGCTAAAGAAATTTTCACAAGTTAAGCAGTACTTATCCAAACACACATTATAATTTGATCAGAGTTTGTGTAGTAACACTTATTTTCCCCTGTCTCTGGGAATCCAGGAAAGGCATTAGGCTAACAGTTACCATACTTATAAGGTACCTACCTTGTAAAACTTACAGTGATAGAGTTTTATTGTGGCTTCTTCTGTATCTATTGTTATTTAGCCTGAAAAGTCATTTCTTAAAATTACTATCATTTTAGCAGAATACCTCCTGTACAGTTCTACACAGTAAGAGAAAAGTGATGATCTTAAACAATGAGGTATATTGCTCTATGAACACCTTCCTTGTTTACTGAAAATTTGCTGCATAGAATACGGAACACATGAAGTGTGTCTAATTTACTGCCAGAAACATTTTCAGAAAAACCACAAGAAAATAAAGTAACTGTATTTTTAATAAGATAAACGGTCACACAAAGTTATTAACTGTCCATGTTGGCCTGCCAACCAAGTAGTCAAAGATAATTTGTATTTTTTTGTCCTCCCTATCAGAAGTGGGGAGGAAAGTGCATTACAAAAGTTAATTAAAAAGTAATTTTAAGTGAAGTCCCAACAATTCAGTAAAACTATTTGCAGCACACACTTTAACTACAGTTACAGGACTATATTCTCAGAATGCAAGTTGTTCACAAAATGATACCTTTCTTTTAAAGTCTAATGACCAAAAAATTCCTTTTGACTTAACAATAGCAATAACATCATTCCATTATCAAATCTGTTATTCATACCAAGCCTACCTACGGAAAGCTTATTTTTATTCACAGCAGTCTAAAATCCAAGTATTGTCAAATATTAATCCAGTTAAATATTTTAATTACTTTTCTTTTACAATGCTTTCTTTCCCAGATAGAAACACTCTACTGTGTCTGACACAAACGGAATGCCAGTAGTACCTCCCTATTATGCTGACAGAAGACTGTAATTCATTTAAATGAATCAATTATGCAATTGGATTCCCACAGCTGGCCCACTTGCTTGGCTCAGATCTGAATACAGTGTCAGTGATCCTTTCTACTAATATTTTCCTAGTTGCTGTCAAGGGAATAAATCTAGCAACTTATAATGAAGTTTTAAGGCTAATTAATAGAGCAAGAAAATGCTAACTAAGTGACAAAAGCTGGTTAGCAGTGACCACGAGATTAATGCTACTAGCCAACTATTTTCCTTAGCATTTTTCAGAGTGATAATATATTTTTTAATTCTCAGGACATTTCTTATTTGTTTGTATGGATTTGGTGACAAGTTAAAAGCAAACCTGTAAGAAAAATACAGCTACAGCAAGACCCCTACATCTGAGGCAAGTAATCAACAAGAAAAGATGCAGATTTATCACTTTGAGAATAAGAGGGAGGAAGAGGGGATAGAGGGGATAATATTTGACTTTCCACGAACAGCCTTTGGATCCTTGTTTCTGGCCTACCTGGACATTACCAAAACATTTTTATCATAGCAGACAAAGATAGGACCTGAATTACAAACAGTTAAAACTGAAGGTCACTACAGTGCAAAATTCAAACATGCACTTCTCATTATGCTACACAGACACAATAAAACAAAGCCTTCACAACCACCTGTAATAATATGCCTGTTCAGCCAGCAATTCCAAAGTACTGAGCAATACAAGGTAGACATTTTCTGCAGCTGGTTTTACATGTACATTTTGCCAATTTGTTGTCTCATTTCTTCTTACCTTCACGTTAGTCCGGAGTGCACAGTAACATGCAAAAAACATTGCAGTAAACAAGGAGCATATGGACCAGTATTCAGCTTCTCTGCTCTGCACAAACAGTACACACACGATCCTGAGCATGTGCTACTAAGAAGCATCCGTTCTCTCTGCCAGTTTCAAAATGCATTGATCTCTGTTTTTCTGACTACAAAAAGACATGTCTTGAAGGCACTGAGTGAAAGCTATATATCTCTTCATTGGCTATAGATAGCATTATGCCCAGTAATTTCAATTAGCAGACAATTCTGCATCTGAAACTTAAGACCTCAGTTGCTTTTCCTCCCAGCATTTTAAATTCGGGGAGAATATGAAAGGGGAGGGGGCAAAGACTCACCCAGAGGGAAAAGGTAAGGAATTAAAATTTAACTAGTTAGTAATATTTCCGTATAGCTTTGATTTTTTTCTTTTAAATATTTTACCAATGGAATACATTTTACATATGGGAAATAAAGGAGTCTTTTTCTGTTCTGAGATTTACTGTAGATTCTGCAATGTTTCTGTCTGGTCTTGTTAAAGATGCAGCATCCCTTTTAACAAAGACAACGTCATCAACCATTACAGAGTCAACATGTTCTACTTACAAATACAGTCTCTGATTAGGGACAATGGCTGGCTGGCTGGCTTATTAATGTTTCCTCAAATGCAAGTTCAGTCCACTGTGCTACAGTAATCTATATTTAAATGGTTAAAAAGTCTCACCTACTCCTTCACCCTAATTTAATAAAAATGGAATGAGCTAGTTACAAAAATCATGAATCTCCTTGTGCTCCTAGCTAAGAGCACAAACCATCAGCTTTAAAAGCTATGTTTTCCTGTCTGACTGGGATTCTAAACAGAGGAAAAAATAAAATGAAAGCAGAGAATCCAAGGGAAGATTGTATTTCACATTTTGCAACTACTAACTCTCAGTGCATAATATTCAGCTCTCTTCCAGAAAAATGAAACCCAGAACCTAGCCAGAAGGCTAAACCTTAATTCACAAGCACAGAAATAAGATTAAATCACTCCTGTCAACCACAGGATGCTACCAATTAACTCATTGTTTACTGGGCAGAGGGACATGAAGTCCAAAGAAAGGATCCAACTCTTCATTTTCAGCGCTGGAGACCACTAACACACACTGGATTAAGAAGCTGTCTTCAGAAATAAAACCAGAAAAGACTTCTCTCCTGCCACCCCCACACCCTACTACAGCAGATAACTGTGGGAGGAAAAGAGTGGTAAAGGCTTTACTACCACCTTCCCTATCAGCAAAGAGCCATTTGTGTAGGATAAGCATAACTTAATGGAAAAATCTTCAGTGACTTTTAGGATTTTTAAAAATAACGCTTTACATAAACCCTCCAGAAATCTACAGAGATGCTGAAACCCTGCCAAAGTCAGGGAGTATTTTTTTGTGGGCAATGAGGTGAAGAGGCTTAAACAGAAAGATATGCATTTAAAGAAGAACAATTAGAGAAAGGGGAAAGACAGCAGGTTTTTCAGCATTTCCATAATGACAGGCACTGGGAAACTGTCGTCAATTCTGAGTGAACAGCTATTTTTAGTCTGTCATTGTTTGTGTCTTTTTATTAGGAATGAAAAAGGTAATGTTTAAATCTAGATATTGCTCTAATGTATTTGATTCCCATTTCCATATGTCATATAAATCTAAGTAATTACTAATCACAACTACAAGCATTAGCAATGAATTCCAGAAAAAAACTCTTATTCTACAACTTTTACTAGGAATTAAATAGTAATATCGATATTACATCCCAAAGATATAGTAGTTCGCAGACTTCTGCTGCAGCAATTCTCACCACACAGTAACATGTTGCTCAACAAAAATATATGGAAGATTTAATTATGCTTTTCTCCTTCACTTTTTCCAGTGAATAAAGAGGAAAAATCATGGTTTATTTCTCAGTACAGTATATTAACAATTACAATTAAGCATCTAATTCATTGAAAAAATTCACAGATCTTGGGAAATTGTGATCCACCAGAGTCGTCAGATTCAAAAAAGCAAAGACAAACAGATTCATAGACCTGAAGCTGCTCCTAGGCAAGGATCAGGCAAGAATGTAAATTAATATGAAAATCAAGTTTAGGCCAGGACAGATGCTTTATTTTTGCCAAATGAATTATTGAAGACTTTGGTTAGGAAAACCTCTGAAGCATCCTTATACCACGTGGTCTTTAAAAGTTAGCATTTCAAAATTAAAACAAACCGAAAAATAGCAATCTTGCACAACAGAACAATGTTGACATAAAAATGCATCTTGCATTACTCTTAAATGATCATTTGCATAAGAGATATTTAGGGCAATGGCAGATAATACAAAGTCAGGTCTCCAAGTCTTTACAAAAGGAAAACTTCCATTACCTTCAGATGTTTTGGGATGGGAAATCACCCAGGAAATGGCAAGACCCTGATCTTTATACACAGAGTAAACTCTTGCACCTGTGGTAGCCAGCTGTTACATGAAGACTGACACACTTGAGTGGTAGCTAGAGAACCAAAACCTCCAATCAAACCAACATGAAGGTTAGTTTGGCGGGGTCCAGGTCATATAAGCTACACAGACTGACCTTTTTAGCATTTATGCACCATGACCTGTACATTTGTTATAATCTAATTTTAAAGGCATTGCTCTCTCAAAGAAATGAACCATATTTTTAATGCCTACCCTTTGTCTGGAGCAACTAACAGGTTATAATGACTGCCCTTGGCACAAAGCTGATAACTGTAAGCCCACAAAGAGGGGAAATCTCTACATGCACAAAACACAGAAAGGAGCCCCACTGGAGCTAGGGGTCCAAAAATCCACAGAAATATCTGAATCTGATTAACAGACTCCTTTTAAACAGAGCTACAACCTGCAGGTCCCTGCATATTCTGCAGCTATGGTAGAATTGTCTTCATCTGTGGAATATTGCCATAACTTTATGGCCATGCACCTCTCAGAAGGGGAAAAGGGAGGCACTCACTCTACTTGACACTGTACTTGCTCTGTGTGGGCTCAGGCAGAAGGAGAAAAATGCCCTATCAGGGTATGTCTAGACTATATGCCTCTGGCGACAGAGGCATGTAGATTAGGGTACCAGACATAGTAAAATGAAGCGGCGATTTAAATAATCGCCACTTCATTTACATTTACATGGCTGCCGCGCTGAGCCGACAAACAGCTGATCAGCTGTTTGTCGGCTCAGCGCGGCAGCCATGTAAATTTAAATGAAGCAGCGATTATTTAAATCGCCGCTTCATTTTACTATGTCTGGTACCCTAATCTACATGCCTCTGTCGCCAGAGGCATGTAGTCTAGACGTACCCTCAGTGAATACTGGATCTTGTGAGGCTTTGCCTGCGGCGGGCCCAGACTTAGCACAGTCAGAGGTTGCTCCACATCCTGCAGAGCAGCCCTTATCCATAGTGTCTGGGGTTGGCTGCAAACAGAGGCTGCTCTGGCA